CATCTTCGTCCACCCCTCTCCTCCTCCTGCTCCTTTTCCTGCTCCTCCTCGTGCGCCTCCTCCTCCTCCTCCTGCTGCTCCTCCTCCTCCTGCTCCTCCTCCTCGTTCTCCCCCTCCTGGGTGGCTCCGCAGCGCGGCCCCGCAGGCATTTCGCCCACGCGGCGGGCGCCCGCCGAGCGATAGCCCCCAGCCCCGACGGGGCGACAGAGCGCGGGCCCCGAGCGGGCGTGTTCGCCTGCCTGGCACAGGCGCCTCAGGAGGCGCAGGTGCGAGGCGAGGAGACAGTTGAGGCTTGAGGACGCGCGCGGCCGACTCGAGCAGCACCACGGCAGCGCTGCACCGATGGGGCGCGGCGCGGAGGAGGAGGAGGCGGCAAAGCAGGCGGCAAAACAGGAGGAGGCAGCAAAGGTGGCACCTACGTTGTCTGCCGCAGCTGCAGCGAGTGGTGGTGGAGCGACCGCGTGGAGGCTATGTGCTACACTTGCAGCTGCGGGCAGAAGCTGTCTGGCGAAGGCAAGGCCAGCCACTGGGAACCCAGCGCGGCGGGCAAGGCCAGCCAATGGGGACCCAGTGCGCACAGGGACGGCCGAAGGCAGCAGGAGACCAGAGGGGCTTAGGAAAAGGGCAGAGGAGCAGAAGAGCTCGCCAAGGCGCTGCAGCTGGCGACGAACACCATCGGCACCATGGAGCTGGCCAACAGGGAACAGATCCGTCAGCAGCTCGCAGGCGCTGCCACGGCGCTGCAGGCGGCCAGTCCGCCAAAGGCCACACATCCAATGCGGTGCGGCTGGCGGCGGCGGCGGCGAGGGCGCTGGACGCGGTGAACAGGCAGATCGAGGCGGCGGCAAAGGCAGCAGCTCTCGTGGAGGCAAAGGCGGACGAGGCGCTTGCAGCGGAGAAGCTCATCGAGACGATCCAACGGGAAGGGAAGGAGGTTGCCAAAGGAATAGTGGAGCAGCTCGTCAGTGGCCAGATGGACGAGAGGACGGAGGGCCAGCTGATGGCCGACCTCGCCAAGGAGCTGGACATGGAGGAGGAGGAGGAGGAGGAGGAGGAGGAGGAGGAGGAGGAGGAGGACTTGGACAACGAGGCGAAGCGAGAGGTGACGGCGGCGAACGAGCAGGTGGTGGCGCAGATGAAGGCCAACTCCCAGGCATTATCGGGCCAGCTCCGCCTGCACTTGGAGCAGGCCAAGGCCGATGCCCAGGAGGCAAAGGCCGCGATCAAACAGGCGGTGAAGATGCGCGGGGCAGCGCGCGCAGAGGGGGCGAAAGAAGAGGCGCAGGCGCGCAGACAGCGGGAGCAGCAGCAGCAGCAGGCTCGGCCCCACCAGGAGGAGCAGCGAGAGGCAGTGCAGCAGGAGCAGCGCAGCCAGAAGGTGTTGAAGAGCTTCTGCAGGGGAGGCGCGCGAAGGGCGAGGGCAAGGGGCCCGCGACCCCGAGCGCGGGGGCGGACTCTCGACAGCGGCCTCGCGAGGCCCGCCGTAGAAGAGGGGGCGGCGGCGGGCTTCAGGAGCGCGCGCTCTTTTTCGCGAGCCCCGCGACCTGGGGGCCCACCGCCAAGCTGTGGACGGGGCAGCAGTCGCTGCATCAGGGCTACGATGCCCACGCGTTCCCGGAGACGCAAGCGGCGGAGGTGGCGCTGGAGCAGACGAAGCCAGCTCGAGATCGGAGCTGGGGACACCAAGGGGTGCTGCGACGGTGCTGCGGGGTCACCTGCGCGCCTCCACTTTCGCGAGCCAGGCGGCGGACTGCTCGCAGGTCTCGAAGGCGACGACGGCGGCGAGCGACTGCAAGGGGGCGCTAGGCCTGGACTTGCGCGACTGGACCCCGATCACATGGCACCTGGAGGGCGCGACGATCACAGTGGTCAGCCCCCCTCTGGATAGCGGACAGCCGCCGAAGGAGGGCATCAACAGGAGGTCTCTGCCTTCAGTGACCGCCTTCACCTCCGCGCCTGGCCTCCTCAGCGCCAGCTGCACCTGCCGCGCGGCGCGGTAGGTCGTGCTGAAGATGACCGACTTGCCTGCCGGCCTCAGCCCGCGCGACTCGAGCCCGTCTTCCAGGGCCTTCGTGTTCACGACGAGCTGTCTCTTCACCTCGGACTCGCTGCCCATGATGCGGGCGCTGATGTCGTCGAACCATGCTCTGGCCAAAGGCCTCGGCGTGCTGCTGGCCTTCCCCATAGTGAAACACAGCGCCGCGTAGACGACCGTCTTGGCGATGTTGTTGGAGTGCCGCGAGCCCGCCAGGACGGGGCGGTCGGCGCACTGCAGCTCCGAGCAGCTGCCCTTCCACCTCGCGAATCTCGCGCTCGGGCGATGCAGCAGCAGCATCGGCGGGATCCTGGTGCTGAAGTCCATCTCGAGCGCAGCAGTGGCGAGCGGGTCGATCCTCAGACTATCGTAGAACTTCTCGACGTCCGCGAGCGCGCCCCCCTGGAGAACGCCCAGCGCGTCGCAGCACGCGCCTGTGACGATCCTCTGCATCGCTTCGCGCCAGAAGCTGTTGCCTGCGACCGCTGCATCCCATGGGCGCCCCTGCCTCTTGGCCCATTGCCTGGCGGCAGGCCTGCGCAGCAGCCCCCCGGCGCGCGCCGGCTGCGCCGCGGCTTCGGGGCCAGCGCCCTGTGCCCCTTCATCGGCTTCGGGGCCAGCGTCGCCACCGCGCGCAGCAGCTGCCAAGGCCTGGCCAGCCTCTTCTTGCTCCCGTTGAAGAGGTCGACTGTCTGCTGTCGTCTTGCTGCTGGTAGCCGCGTCAGATCACGGCACAGCAGGCGATCGACCTCTTGCCCTCTGTCTGCTTCGCCCTGGGGTGCCCTGTCAAAGTCCTGCAGCTCTTAATTTGGCTTCTCCGCCTCCTCTGCTTTCCTCCTCGGCGCCTCCAGCATCTGCCCGTGCGTTATGCGGGCCACTTCCCCGCATCTCTGTATCCTCGCAAAGTCCCTCGACTTCGCGTCTACCATCCCCTTCGGGCAGTTGGCGGCGCCCTTCTCCGCGTGGATATCCCCCTCTCTTCTGCTCGGCGTCGTCGTGATCCGATGAAGCGCTCTCCAGTTGCTGCTCCGCGTCCGCTAGACACTTGCAGAAACTTCTCGCGCTGGCATCCATGTCGCTGCGCGCCGCCATAACCTTCCCCCCCTTTGCCTGCGTCGCCATGCACTGCGCGATGTCCGCTTCCAGCGCGTCCAGCGACTGTAGCCGCGGTCTCCGCAGCCTGCGGTGCAACCTCGCTGTCTCCGCAGCAGCTTCGGTATCCCTCTGTATGCCTGGTGCCCTCTAGAGCTCCCTGCTGCCCCTGGCCCGCCCCTCTCTCCTTCAGCTTGGCCATCGGGGAGAGCGCCGTCTCGGCCCGATCCCGCCATCAGCTTGCAGGCTGTCGCATTGCACTCCCCTCTCTTCTCGCCACCTGCCACTGCCCTCTTTGAGCTGGCAGCCTCTTCACCGCCCTGCGAAGTAGTGCCTGTCACGAGGTTCGGCGTGGTAGGCGAGGCAGAAAAATGCTTCGGTGTGTCCACGGTCCGCGCGCGCTGTCTTCCAAGCTGCTCCGCTGCGACCGAGTCGACCTGATGGGCCGCGCGCGCCGAAATAGCTAGGCGCCGCGACTTGGCTGTCGCCGTTGGTCGCCATCTTGGCTGCCCCCCACCTGCCCCCCGGCGGCGCGGCGGCGACATCCGCAATGCCAGAGCGCAATCTCGCTGCCTTCTCCTCTATCCTTGGCTCCTCTGCCTCTCCCCCTTGATCTTCCTCCTCGCTGGTGGAGTCGCCGCCTGTCGGCCCATCTGTCTGCAGCTTCTCTGCGATCGCGCACCTTTCGGTCGCCTCGCCTCCGCTCGGCCCGGCCTCCTCCCGCAGCTGATCCTGGCTTTCCTCTTCGTCGAGGTAGCTCTCCGACTGCGCGAATGGGCCCTCCTCCTCTGCGACGAGTCCTTGACGTGGAACCTCACGGGGGCAGTGGCGGCGATCGGGTTTGGCGCCCAGCCTGAACTTCGCGACGGCAGGCGCAGTCAGTTGCTGCCCTGACCCCCCGCCCCCCATGGCCTCCTCCATGGCCCCCTTCCCCCCTGCTGGCCTATGCAGCCGGCAATTCGACCCTCGCCAGCAGCGAGCCGCTCTCGCCTCCTCCTCAGCGTGGCCTCTTCCTGCCTCCTCTTTGCTGCTTTCGCTTCCTCGCCTGGCGCCCGCGCCTGCCTGCGCCGCCGCCGGGCGTGGCAGCCTCTGCCTCGTTCTCTTGCTTCTCGGGCCTGGTGGCTTCGGCGCGCCGCGGCCTGCGCCTCGCCCCGCAGCGCCGCCTTCAGGCCGGCGCGCGGCTTCCAGGGGGCGTCGCATACCGCTTCCATGCCCTTCGCGAGCCCCACGCCCTGCGAGTTGGCCATCGCGAAGTCGATGTTCGACTGGCTCTGGCCCAGGAAGCAGGCGCGGCGGCCGTCGGGCAGCGCGGCGAGGGGCGCCGCGCCCGTCATCTGCGGCCAGCCTGAGTCCTTGGACGCCCGCGGCTCCACGTCGAAGCCCCCGCGGACGGGCCGGGCCCTTTTGATGGCGCGCGGGGAAGCTGCCAGCGACAGGGCGGCGCGAGGGGCGACCAGGAGAGCCGCCCGCGCGCAGGGGGCGAAGGCAACGGGCAGGAGGTTCGGCGCAGTAGGGGCCTGGCCGACGAGGCCCAAGCTGCGCAGGCGGCGAGGAGTCACGCACCAGGGCCCAGTTGCGTCGCTCACGCGCGGCGCGGCGCCGCATGGGCCGGCGCCGACGGCGACGAGGGCGGCTAGAAGGAGGCACGCGCATGCGCTGAGGAGGGCCTGACCAGGCAGGTGCCCGACTAGCTGACCGGCGCTCGAGGGAGAGAGCCCAACCATCGCGATCGCGAGGCGGCAGTTGCGGGCTTGGTTCGACCTCTGGGACGAGCGCAGACCAGAGGCCGCCGATCAGGAAGGCTTGGGCGAAGGCATACTTCAGGCTGCAGGCGCAGCCAGAGGCGGAGAGGCGGCGTCAGAGGCGAGAAGCGATGGGCAGTATCCTCCTCCTTTGGGAGCTCGGCCCGGACACCGGGGGCCCTGGCTACTGGGTCGACAGGGGAGGGGGCCATTGGAAGTCCCCAGAGGGCGAGAGGGCAGGAGACCCGCGCGACATCGCAGAGGCGCTGCTCGAGGACGCGCAGCTGATGCGGCGGGCGGCGGCGGCGCAGCACCACGACGGTAAAGGGGGCCGAGCAGGGCGTCGACGCGCGGGGCGCCAAGCGGCACCAGGATGCGCTCAGGAGGAAGGGCATGCACCGGTTGCACGGGGCCCTTGGCCGCAGCGCGCGCAGGCACCTGGCCGAAAGCAAGGCGGCGCAGGGAGTTCGACGAGACGGACTGCAGGCGCGAGCGCGACGCGGAGGAGGACGATCTGCACCGCATCCTGGGCGCCTGCGAGGAGAGGCAGGAGAAGGCCATCCTTGCAGGGGCGCAAGGACTGGAGGGGCGCGCGAGGAGGGCAGCGGGCAGCGCGCCCATCTTCTGGCCAAGGGGGCCCACGCCCAAGGCCTGGGCGGTGCCGCCACCGTGCGACGCGCAGGAGCAAGCGCCACTGGTGGGCGAGCGCCAGCTGCGCGAGACGCTGCGAGGAGACCGCGGCGAGCCCATCGCGGCGCGCGGCGACGGCTCAGGAGGCGAGCACAGCGCGGACGAGGATACAGGCGGTGCGGTTGGGGCTGGGCAGTGCTGGAGACGACGTGCCAAGCGCTGTGCCCCTCCATCCGCGCGGCCACGTTTGGGCCGCTGCGTGGCAGCAGGCAGATCAACAACAAGAGCGAGCTGCGGGCCTTCATTAGCAGCCTGGAGTCCACAGAGGGGCCGATGGCGCACTGGGCCGACAGCGAGATCACCTTCAAGGGCTGGAGGGACCGCCGTGAGGAGTGCGACCACAAGACCAGCGAAAACGGCGACTTCTGGCGCAGGGTGAGGAAAGCTCTCCGGGATAGGCCAAGCACCAGGGAGGACATCACGATGCACCACATGAACAGCCACATGGACGCGCAGGAGGCAGAGGATAGGAGGATCCCAAGCGTCGCGCGGGAGGGCAAACGCGAGGCTGGCCAACGCGGGAGCGAGGCAGCACGCGATTAGCGAGGCCAAGATGGGCTGCTACGAGTGGCCACGGGCCACGGCGCACCTCGTCAGGACGCGCATCGCGGAGTGCACCAAGGACGCGATTAGAAGTGGGCCAGACGAGAGCAGAGTTCTCAAGCGCGCCAGGCAAGCAGCGACCAAGACCAGGAGAGCAAGCTGAGGCCGCAGACGACGCACGTCCTGAGGAGACCGAGGCGAGGAGGAGGATGGCGCTGCTGCAGGCAGACGGTGATGAGGCACGCGGCGCTCAGCGGACTCCAGGGGCGGTTCGCGACGCAGTGCCCAGGGCCGCCGCCGGCGGAGGGAAGGCGCGTCAGCTTCTACGGCGTGGAGCCGCACGAGACCCACCCGCTGAGATGGTAAGGGGGCGAGAGCAGGTGGCACTGCACGAAGTGCGGAAGCTCGGCCACCGAGATGGTGTCGGCGAAGCTCCAGGCGCCCTGCCGAGGGCAGCCGAGCTGCGAGTCCAGGGGGTACCAGCTCGCCGCCTGGGCGAGGGAAGTCCGACGGCGAGGAGCGCAGGAGGCCAGTGCGGACGCCAGAGGGGCGCGCAGCAGGAGCTAGTGATGAGGCGCCTAAGGAGAGAGGCGACGAGCTGCCAGAGGAGGGCGAGGGAGCAGCCAGAGAAGGCGACGGCCGTGGCGTAGTGGAGCCATGGAGACTGCCATCACAGCGCACGCGTGTCGGAGCCGAGCCCGAGCAGGAGTGGAGCTGGCGCCGCTGTAGCAGCAGGCGAGGTGCTCGGGGAATACGGCGGTGATATGCCAGAGAAGGAGGAGGAGGAGGAGGAGGAGGAGGAGGAGGCAACCAGAGGATGCGACGGCCATCGCAGCGCCCACGTGTCGGAGCCGAGTCTGAGCGGAGCTGGGCCTCGCGACCTCGAGGGGGGCGCGACGGCAAGAGGTGTTTGAACGTCGCGCGCGACCTGGCTCCTGAGATATCCACCCGGCCGTCGTCCACGGCCAGATTGGAGGCCGACAGCGACGCCCGCGCGCAACGAAGGCGCGCTCACCGCCGCGGGTCCGCCCAACAGATGATCGACGCGGTCGCGGCTGGACCCCCGACCGCCGAGCCGTCGCCACCACCATCGGATCGACTTGCAGAGTCAGAACTCACTCATGTTGAAGTCGACGTCGATGAGATGTGCGGCATCTATTTGGACCACCACGTCAACCTGGATACCGCCGTCATTCTCCAGCGCGGCCATCGTTTCCATCAGAGCCGCGCCGTCGCCTCGGCCGCCACTCGCTACAACAACGCGCTGCTGCGAGCCGTGGAAGAAGCGCGCCGCGGATCTGGAAGCGCGGACGCCACTCGCAGGCAGATGGCCAGCACGCCAGCACTTCGGCGCCCACCTGGGGACAACCGCCACTTCGAGGCTCGCCGCAAGGCGGCGAAGCCAATGCGCTACCCTAGCGGGCAGCCACTGGACCAGCAAGAGTGCGCGACTCAGGTGTATCACAGTCGCCCGCAACTCCCCTCAAGTGAGCTCAGCGCCATTGTAGACCCAGGGGCGTGGACCAACCTCGCGGGTGAGAAGCTCGCGCGCCAGCAGCGCCGCCGTGCCGCGCAGGCAGGGCGCCGGCCGCAGCAGCCCCTCATGAGCAAGCCCTTGAACGTTCAAGGCGATGGCAACGGGGCCCAAGAGCGCGCCCATCACGCGCGCGCCCCCGTCGGCGTCACGGATGAATAGGGCCAGGCTGCCATCCGCAGCTTCACAGCACCCATTTTCAGAATCGGGCAGCGGCCTGCCCGGCCTGCTCGGCCTGCGGCGCGCGGAGCTCACGCGCGCGATCCTGGACGTGGGCCCGCGCGAGCTGATCCTGCCCGGCGGCGGCGACATCCAGATCCACTGGCCCGCGGGGGCCGCTCGCATCCCGCTGCAGAAGGCTTCGAGCGAACACCTCACGACGGTCACCGACGACTTCGAGAGGACCGCGCAGACCGCAGGCGGCGCACCCGACAGCAGCGCCCCGCCGCGCGCCCGCGCCGACGAGACGGAGACGGCGGACGCGACGCCGGCCGCTGCCCCCTCCAGCCAGGAGGCCGAGCAGCGGTCGAACCTCGGCTCGCAATGAGCTGCGGCCCCCACGCGGGGCAACCCCAGCTTTCCTTACCTCGCTCTAGCGATAGAGATGGCGCCGACATGTGCCAGAGCTCTTGAACCGCACGGATGGTTGATGCGAGCACCCCATTTTATCAGCACTATTTCCCCCCATGTCCCCGTTTGCCGGACGTGGAGACCAACTTGGATGAAGATGCCACCGAGCCATGCTTATCATGGGGTACCTACCATCGCGCCAGATAGCTGATACATGAATTGATACTGACGCGCCGTAGAATCGACATACCCTGTGCTGCTATAGACCTGGCAAACCAGCTGAGTCGCACCATCGAAGTGGCCCAGCGCCCAGCAGTCGGCATGAAGCTACATAGGATCTGTCGACTCGGGCTCACACCTGAAACCGAGAACAAGTCACCTGCCAAGACAGCCTTCCACATCGACAAGACGACAACACCAAGGGACCAGCTTGTGGCGCACATGTCCAAAAGACCCGGCGCGCCGAGCGCCGTGGCATTGGGCGATGGATCGCCCTCCTGGCAAGGAGAGCCCCCAAGTGATTTCCCAGGCAAAGCGGATCAAAGCAGATGTACTGCCCCAATTCACGCACGAAGCTGCTCTGTTTGACGCGAAGGCGTTGGCAGCTTCGTCGAGTGCCCAGCACTCCGCCCCAGACCGTTCTTCAGCCCGACAATCCCGATACACATGGGCGACTTGACACTAGGAATCATGACAATGAGAGAGAAGAGGGTAAGACACATAAGACGGCGAAGTTCGGTAGATTTTGCGAAGCTGCCTTTGCTGATCAAGATTAAGATAGCAAGATGGATCTTTGACCTTAGCACCGCGACTCGAGTCCACGCGTTGCTTCGGAAGACCCTCTTCACACTGGCCAAGACCTCATGCCGGGTTTCCCTTGCCTCACTGGCAGGTGAGAGGACGATCTACATCAAGCCCTAACACGAGCAAGGCAAGTTCGTCTCCAACACTTCGAGCTGGAGACAGCGATCCACTGCGTATGAGGTCTTGCCAGACGGATGGACAGGCATAACCGCTTTCCTTTGCAACCAGGTGCCCCCGTCGTTTGCCTTTCCCACCGAGGAGGCCGAACGCGCGAAGGGACGCAATGAACAAGGCCATGTGCCAGTCAAATGCCCAAGGAGGCAGAAGACGTGTTCGACGACATCCGGGACTTCTTCTTTGGCCTTGGCACGGAGGAGCAATTCAAACGACTGTTCCAGGGCACAGCCATAGAACGCGCCGGAGAGCTGCCAGTCGGCGAGAACGTAGCGGAAACTCATGCAGCAGGGACCGTAGTTGGTTATCGTGCCGAGTTTCCAGTGTCCACTTTCCAGGCCGCAGACGTCGCGCATGCCCTGGCCACGCCCAACGGACGTGCCCGAGCGTAGATCTAAAGCTTGTGAGGGCCCAAAGACGCGGTTGCGAGCTCGTCGCCCCCACGCCCCCCCTTCCCTTCTAGGCAAGATCAATTCCATAGATTTGGAACTCTTGGGGACGGAAAAAAGTAGAGGGGTTTGTAAGTATAGATCTGCAGGTGTGTGTATGTATGTATGTATATATATATATATATATATACATATATATATATATATATATATACATATATATATGCACATACACATATACGAATGTTGGCCAAGGTGGGTCCTAAACGCTGTGCCTCTAGCAATATATGGTGTGCAACCTTCGTGGAGCAACATATGTTAAACATTCCGCGTTGTGGAATAAACATAATATATATATGTTTGTATACGTGGTGCAGTAACTGTGCTGAGTAAACTTTATGTAATCTATGTGGTGCAATACTTGTTGCGTAATATATTTGCATTGTGCCACATGTATGATTCTATATATGTTGCGAAATCTACGTTGTGCAATCTATGTGGCCACGAGGCGGCGCCGGCGGCAACATAGCCGCCAGACCCAGCCAAGCGAAGACGATCGACGGCGACGGGCGGCAACGAGGCGGCGACGGGGCGGCGACGGTGGCAGCACAACCGCCAGACCGGCAGCCAGGCCCAGTTCCTGGTATACAATCAAGTCAGAACTTTTGAGTGCGAACACTGGTTGGGGAATCGGAGGTGAGGGGGTGAGATCGAAGTGGAACGGAGAGCCCAATTACCGGGAAATCGATTTCGGTTTCGTGTTCGTGCGTGCCGTGCGTGCGGGCGAGGCGAAGGTGCGTGGGCGGGCGAGAGGAAAGTCTCCTGTGGCTGAGGCGCGGCCGGACCAAATGACTCCCTTTCGGGCGGCCGGGGGCCCGCGGTGTCCCGCCGGTGTCCCGCTGGTGTCCCGTGTGGCTGAGGCGCGGCCGGACCAAATGACTCCCTTCCGGGCGGCCGGGGGCCCGCGGTGTCTCTCCGGTGTCCCGCTGGTGTCCCGTGTGGCTGAGGCGCGGCCGGACCAAATGATTCCCTTCTGGGCGGCCGGAGGCCCGCGGTGTCCCGCCGGTGCCCCGTCGGTGTCCCGATTATGGTGATGATATTGATGATGATGATGATGGTGATGATGATGATGATGATGACGATGTTGATGTTTTGTTTTGATGATCGATAGTTAGATCGGTAGTGATATCGATTGTGAGATCGAATGTGAGATCGAATGTCAGATCGCTTGTGAGATTGATTGTGAGATCGATTGTGATACCGAATGTGAGATCGATAATGAGATCGATAGTGAGACCGGTTGTGAGACCGAATGGGATATCGATTGTGAGATCGATTGTGATATCGATAGTGAGATCGATAGTGAGACCGAATGTGAGATCGATTGTGGAATCTATTGTGAGATCGATAGTCAGATCGATTGTGAGATCGATCGATTGAGTTAGTAGTGAGATCACTATCGGTAATGAGATCGGTAGTGATTTCGATAGTGAGATCGATGATGATACCGAATGTGAGATCGATTGTGAGTTCGGTTGTGATATCGATAGTGAGATCGATAGTGAGATCGATAATGATATCGAAAGTGAGTTCGATAGAGAGATCGATAGTGAGGCCGAATGCGAGATCGATTGTGAGATCGATTGTGATATCGATAGTGAGATCGATAGTGAGACCGAATGTGAGATCGATAATGAGATCGATAGTGAGTTTGATAGTGAGATCGATAGTCAGATCGAATGCGAGATCGATTGTGATATCGATTATGAGATCAATAGCGCGACCGAATGTGAGATCGATTGTGAGATCGATTGTGAGATTTATTGTGAGATCGATAGTCAGATCGATTGTGAGATCTATCGATTGAGATCGATTGTGAGATCGGTAGTGAGTTCGATAGTGAGATCAATCGAGTGCGACGTTGGTCCCTCCCCCCCCTCACCTCCTTATCACCCGAAGGGTGGTCTATGCGATAAAAAAGTTTATATGTACTGATTCGCCCACACTTCGGGTAATAAGGAGGTTGTGGAGGGGGGAGAGGGGTGAACCAACATCTGACTCAATCGATCTCACTGTCGATCTCCCTCAACGGGACACCACGGGACATTTGTCGATCTCACGATCGATCTCAGTATCGATATAATTCAACGGGGCATCACGGGACATCGCGGGACACCTCTCGATCTCATTATCGATCTCACCCAACGGGACACCATAGGGCACCACGGGGCACCTCGGGACACCACATCGATCTCACTATCGATCTCACTACCGATCTCACTCAACGGGACACCACGGGACATCTGTCGACCAGACTATCGATCTCACGATCGATCTCGCTTTTTGGGACGCCACGGGACACCTCGGGGCACCACATCGATCTCACTATCGATCTCACTCAACGGCACACCAAAGGACCTGTCGATCTCACTATCTATCTCACAATCGATCTGACTTTGAGGGGCACCACATCGATCTCAGTATCGATCTCACTATCGATATCACTATCGATCTCATTATCGATCTCACTCAACGGCACACCACGGGATATCACGGGACATCGCGAGCCACCGCCGGACGGACGGACGGACGGGCGGGCGGAGGAGAATCATTTGTCTTGATTTCGCCCTAGCAACGGCGGACACCACGGGACGCCATGGGACACCGCGAGCCACCGCCGGACGGGTGGGCGGGGGAGAATCATTTGTCTCGACTTCGCCCTAGCAACGGCGGGATCATTCCTCTCGCGCGCCCACGCAGCTTCGCCTCGCCCGCACGCACGACACGAACGAAACGAAGCGATTTCCCGGTTGGGGGTCTCTGTTCCGCTGCGATCTCGCCCCGCAACCTCCCGTACACGCCTTCTCACCCCCGGCAGGCGGAGGTCTGCGGACGTCCTTCTCATCGTTCTCATGCTCCCAGTTTGCTCCTCTTCTCCTTTCCCTGTTCCTCCTGCTTCTCTTCCCTTGAGCCCTCCTTTTTCTCTTTTGTTCTTCCATTGAGCCCCCATGGACTCCCCCTCAGAGCCCCTTCTCGTTCCAGACCCTCCTCTTCCTCCTCATCCTGTTTCTCCCTCAGTTCTCTCCTCATCTTCGTCCTCCCTTTCTCCTCCTCCTCCTCCTCTTCTCGACCATTCAAATCAGCATCATCAGCAGCAGCATCACCAGCACCATTAGCATCATCATCTTCATTATTATCATCCTCTTTTCCTCCTCCGCCTCTTCACAATCATCATCATCATCCTCATCATCCTGTGTTTCCTCCTCCTCATCCTCCTCCCTTCCTCCTCCTCCCCCCTCGGCGCGGTGCCCGCGCGCGCCGAACCCCCGCCGAGGAGTGGCGCAACGCCTCCTCCTGCGCGAAGAGGCCCGGCTACTCGCCGCAGATCCCGGTCCCCACCATGGACGAGGCGGGCACCGGCGAGGTTCGGGGCGCTCAAGACGGGGTCGGTTTTTGTCGGTACGTTGCTATCGAAACGGGTACGGAGAGAGCGGGGACGAAGACTGACAGCAGTTCTTGGTTACTCTGAACAGGAATCGTGGGCGATGCCGCCGCGGACGTGGCTCATTTGAGACAAAAGGTCGCCTGCCCAACAGCGGCCGCTGTCGGTGTCGGACAACGTTGTCTGTTGGGAATCGTGCCCATGTTGTCCGTACTCATTCCGGGCGTACCAGAAGTTGGTGGGGTCGGACAATCGTGTTGCGTCGCCGATTCATCGGCGATGCGGCTCGATGTGGATCCCGATTTTCTTCACGCCGACGTCGCACATGCATATCCGCTGCATCGGCGATGCGGCGCGATTCTCCGACGTCATCTAGTTCCGACCCCACATGGGCAGCCTCCACAAGGGCACGTGCGTGGCGGTCGACCCGCACAACCCGAAGGGGGAGGAGCCGCGAGAATCGTGCGCCGGCGGTCGAGTGTGGACCCAGACCTCCCTTCGCTATCGTGAGAAACTCACGACGGGAGGTGTTCGGCAGTTCTCGGTCCCCAGGGGCCCTCGCCGGCTCCCAGGACACTCAAGAAATGACTCGTGACGAAACCTTGCTCCTGGGGAGAAGGTCCAGACCCAGACATGCGACGTCTTGATTTTTTCAATACGGGGTCCGTGGAAGGCCCGACCCTTTCCCCGTGACTAGTTTTTCATCCTGCGTCTTTCTGTTGACGGTCCCGAGACCCGGCGAGGGCCGCCCGAGGCCGAAATTGGCCAAAAATTTCCCGCCCTGGATTTTTTACGACCCGATCATGCCTGGGGACATCTAGGAAACCATGCAATCACGACGTCGCAGGCTCGGGGAGGTTGCTGGGCGTACCTTCTTCGCCCAGTCCTGGCCCCAGGGGGGCCGATCGTGAATCGCGGCCGGAATCCCCTCGAGATTCTTTTGGTCAGAGTCTACCCTGGCACGGGGACGCCCTGAAAGCCCCTCTCTCCTCCTTGCCCCCGTTCCCCCCCGTCCTCTTCTCCCTCCCTTCCCCCCCCCCGCTCCTCTCCCGACGCTGTGCCCCCGTCCCCCCCCTCTTCTTCTCCCTCCCTCCCCCCCCCCCGGTCCCCCCGGTCCTCTCCCGACGTTGTGCCCCCGTTTCCCTTCCTCTTCTCCTTCCCCTCCCACCCCTCCTGGTCCTCTCCCGACGTTGTGCCCCCGTTCCCCTTCCTCTTCTCCTGCCCTTCACCTCCCCCGCTTCTCTTCCGACGTTGTGCCTCCGTTCCCCCTCCTCGTCTCCCTCCATTCCCCCCCCCCCATCGCGCTCCTCTCTCAACGTGGTGCCCCGCTTCGTCGGAGCTGCCGCCACAGCCGAGACCCAGATCCGCACAGAATGTCGGTCCCAGGACCCCTTTCCCAGGGTCCAGCAGGGCTCGAGCTGAACGGTCTCTTGGCGATTTCGTTGGCCGTCGTCGTTCTTCGAAGAAAAAGGCAGCATAAACATAATATGTTACGGCCATCGCGGATTTCTCCTGTCTGCGCTGGGCCCCCTTGGTGGCGCCTCGGGCGCCGCCCTTGGCGCGCTGGGAGGGGGGTCCAGCTCAGATACTAGAAATCAGCGCGGACCGTCAAAAGTGTATGTGTATGCTGTTTTTCGCTCCGCTGGTTTTGGCTTCCTTCCGCAGCAAAGGCAGAGCGAAGACAGAACGAAGGACACAACGAGCACAAGACGAAGACGGAAAGCACAGTTCAGCTCGAGCCATGTGGACCGTCTTGGACCGTTGTCGTTCTGATCTCCTCCCGCAGCAAAAAGGCAGTACGAAGACACAGCAGAGGGAAAAACGAGGACAGGACGAAGACGGAAAACACCGTTCCGCTCGAGCCCTGGAGGGCCCATCCTGGACCGCGTGCTTCGAGGCGTTTACTTCCTGGCCGTGGCGAGCCCCTCCGAGAGGACGAGCAGCGCGCGCAAGGGAGGGCCTTCCGCGACCTCTCGGCTGGGCCCTCCCCCCCTCCAGCTCCTCCTTCCTCCCTTGTTCCTCCTCCCTCCTCCTCCTCCTCCTCCTCCTCCTCCTCCTCCTCCTCCTCCTCCTCCTCCTCCTCCTCCCCCTCCTCCTCCTCCTCCTCCCTCCTCTCCTCCTCCTCCTCCTCCTCCTCCTCTCCTCCTCCTCTCCTCCTCCTCCTCCTCCTCCTCCTCCTCCTCCTCCCCCTCCCTTCTCCCCCTCCTCCTGGTGCGCGCCGCCGTGCCTCAGGAGCCCGCGGGGCCCAGGGACTGCTGCACGCAGTTCATCATCGACGAGGGCGGCGACTACGGGGCCGAGAACTACCTCCGCCCGGGCCTCGGGAGGATCGCAAAGGCCTCCTCTGCGCGACTGGGGGTGGGGGGGGGGCTGGGCTCCCTTCGCCCGCCGTGCCCCGGAAAAAGCTCCCCGGGACCCCCTATAGGATAGTGGCGTTCGGTGGCAGCTGGCTCCTCCTGCGCCCTCTCGGCCAGAGGCAAGTCGCTGGGCGACGAGCCAGCTGCCTATCTACTGCTCGTCGGTGCGCGCGCCGTGGGGCCCGCTTCCTCCCGCAAAGGGGGAGGCCGGGGCTGCCGGCTGCCTGCCATTGCGGCCCGCTTGCATGCGGTGTGCACCGCGCAATTCCTGGATCATGTAATCCCGTAATCCTCCTCCTCCTCCTCCTCCTCCTCCTCCTCCTCCTCCTCGTCCTCCTCTTCATCCTTCTCCTCCTCCTCCTCCTCCTCCTCCTTCTCCTCCTCCTCCTCCTCCTCCTCCTCCTCCTCCTCCTCCTCCCTCTTCCTCACCAATATTATTCCGACTCCGTCCAGCTTCCCGATCTGGTGCTGACCCCTGAGATTCGACGTCGCGAAAAATTCAAAATCATACAAAAGTGCAGTATAGTTCCTCTTGCCGCTGCTGCTCCTACTCCTCCTCCTCCTCCTCCTCCTCCTCCTCTCACATCCTCTCGCTTCATCGTCATCCCTCCTGCTCTCCCCTTGTTTTCTCATCTTCTATCCTCCCCGCACGTCCGCTCGTCCCTCGTGGCCAATCCTCCTCCCTCCTCCTTCCCATCTTCCCTCCTCCTTCTCCTCCCCCTCCCCCTCCTTATCCCTCTTCTGTTCCTCTTCCCTCCTCCTCATCCCCACCTGAAGCCACGCTGGGTCAAGCCTGCCGTCATTGCCCATCGTCCCCGGACTTCATGCGTGGGTGCTCTCCCTACGGCTTGAGGACATAGGCGACGCCAGGTTTGCAAGATCAGATGCCTCCAGCTTGGCCGCCGCATCTTCGAGAACGAGCGTTCCGCAATTGCGTTGTCCCAAAAAGGCTGGCGCCCTCTTTCATAGCACGATTCTCGGCATGGAGTGTCCGTCTGGGTGACCGGTGGCAGGCTTTCAGGCGCTCTTGATCACAGCCAGGTGGGACAGCAAATCGCTAACATATCATGCAGCACATCCAGGACGATGCCCAGGCCTCCCTGAACGGGCTTGCGTTGTGTCGCCTGGACTACGCGGAGTTCACGTAGCTTGAGTTCGTGTCTCGGGCTGTAAGTTGCACTCGGTCCCCTTTCCCTACCTCTCATCCTTCCCCTCGCCTTCGTTTGGCTGCGCTGGTGTAAGGTGTTGGCCTCCAGGGCATTGCGGGTGGCGGGGACTGATTTAGTTGGTGGGATTGTTGGAATCGGCTCTGCGATAAGCGCTCGCCCAGTTACCGCTCAATTCGCTAAGCAGGTTGGCGCCGGAGCGCACCTGGCACAAAAGCCCAGGCGAAACGAATGTACGCTGCGCCTTGTCAAGCCCCTTCCTGCCCTTCTTCGAGTAGGGGATCGACTTCAGAATTGATCTACCCCAAAATGATTTTCTCGTCGAATGTTAACAATACGTATAGCGTTCGTAGATATACGAGCAGTATACGCATTCTTCGTATATCCCCAAAACAAATCAATGTTGGGGTAACCCAATTCTGCAATCGATACCCTACTCGACTTTTATCTCCCTTCCTCAACCACGGACCAGGTCGTTCACTTAGACGTCTGTCCGTGGGATTGGACTGTCTGACCTTAAAAGCAGCCCCGTGGTATGGGTTGGGCGTCCGCGCCATTGGAGACTGGGAGGCTATATGGATAAGCAGAGGTGGAACTTACATGGCTCACATGGCATAGAGATCGCGGAGGGTGGCATTGGTGGATAGAATGCTCCCGCTTCGGTCCTTGGTGCCTTTGGGACCTCCTTGTGCACCGTCGATTATTCCGTCCCGTTCCTTCGCCTCATCACTTCCTTCCCTATTCGTTCGTCATCCTCTTCCATCCTCCTTCTCCTCCTCCGTCCTCCTCCTTCTCCTCCTCCCTCCTTTCTCCTCCTCAGCATCCCCTTCCCCCTGCTGGTCTGGCAACTAATGCAGCCGAATGGGGGAAGTAGGGGAGTGTTAGGACGACGGAGCGTACGAACCGCGTGGTTAACCCTCCCTTCCTGGCTTTCCTCCCCGTGCCTTCTCCGCAAGCGGTCCTGGCCATGAACGGGATTAGGACCGTCCAGTCGAGCTTACGCCTTCGCTCCTGGCCTCCAGGACCCTCGGGCATAACAGCATACCGAGGGCACACAAACATACAATGAGCGCGCACGCGGAAGGGGAACAGATAATGAGCTGGGTTAACATCTGAGTTGTCTGGCATACGAGCAGGACGATGCTTAGCCAAAGTTAAGTTAACGAACGAACAGTCTCCCCCGTCAGGGAGCTTATATCATAATCAACCTACATAATTAAACTCACAATACCAGGCACTTTCGAAAGAACTGAACGGGGGAGCAGAGCAGATGCAATATGCTGGTGTTGCTCCTTCTCCTCCTCCTCCTCCTCCTCCTCCGCCTCCGCCTCTTCGTCCTCCTCCTTCTCCCCAGTTCCTCCTATCCTCACCTCCTCTCTGTACACTTAATCTGAAGACTACTCTCCCCTCTCCTCTGAAGATGCCCGCGGAGTCGTCTGCCCTCCTCGCCGCTGCAGCGCGGGCCTCATTTTAGGATCGGCGGTTTGATCCCATCATTCGGACCGGCGATCTCGCCCCAGGATGGACCACTTTTCTGGATCCAAGTTTCCCTCGTCGTTGTTGCCCCGCTCGTTTCCCGTCCCCCGCCTTCCCCTGGTCATCCTGCTCCTCCCGCTTCTCCCACTCCAGCTCCTGCTGGTGTTGTTCCTCCTATTCCTTCCTCCCTTCCTCCTCTTCCTCCTGCTAATCCTCCTGTTCATCCGCCACCTCCTCCAATGTACGCAGCTCCCCATCTCAGATTGCGCGTGACACGACTCCGTTATGGCACGCTTCGGCGGATAGAGAACTCATTAGCGCAATGGGCAGGGATGGTTGGGAGGGGTAGGAGGATGTCAGATATGGCGCGAGCGCACCTAGCTTGTCTTTCTCCTCCCTCCTCCCCCCTCCCTCCGTCCCCCCTCCCTCCTGCTTTGGGGCGTGCGGTGGACTGGGCCTCCACGCAGGGGCCTCGCCACGCGCTGCGACGAGGTCGCGCGCGCCAGCGGCCAGCGCCGCGCACGTCGGCCCCTCATGGCGCATTGGCCGCGACGGGTCGGTCCTTGGTGCGTGTAGGGGCGCGCGGCAGTGACGCGTGGTCCGCTCCAGCGAAGCGAAGGAGGATGAGGAGGAGGAGGAGGAGGAGGAGGAGGAGGAGGAGGAGAAAGAAGCAGGAGGATGAGGAGGAGGAGGAGGAGGAGGAGGAGGAGAAAGAAGCAGGCGGAGGAGGAGGACGACGACGACAAGGCCGCGCGGCCGCGATGCGGCGGAGGAGGCAGGGCCCGGGGCCCGGGGCGCTGGGCGGACCTCGCGGCCGAGCTGCGGCGATTCCGCCCACCGGTGGCGGAGGGCCGCCGAAGGGTTTGGTGACCACGCCGCGTGGTGCGTCGGACGTTTTCGGGCGTTGTCGTCCGCTGCCTCGAGCTGCGCTCCAGCAGCTGCGCCTCGCCGAGGGCGTTCCTTCGCGGGCCCGGCTCGTCCCGACGGGCCGCCGGAGAGAGCCGAGGGGTGGCCAGGAGGCCAGGGGGGCGGTGGCCACCCCGTGTGGCGAGTCCGAGGGGCCTCGGGGTCACCACGCGGGGGACTGGGGTCGTTGCCAGAGGATGTCTCGAGCGACGGGGGCCTCCGAGGTCCCGAGGTGGTGCGGTGGCGGACCGCGCGGTGAGGTCGCCGTGGATGCCGAGGTCGCCGCGCGGTCTTGTCACCACGCGCGGGGGGTTATACGCGAAGCCGCGGGCGCGAGCGGCAGCGGGTCGGCGCGGCGTATCGCTCCCCAGAGAATGTTCGGGGGCAGCGCTGCAGGGGCGCCCGGAGGCTCAGGAGGGCCGGAAGCGTTCAGGTTTTCGGGCTTCTTTTACGAAGGATTGCAACAACAAACCGAAGGATTGCAACAAAAAACCAAAGATTGCAACAAAAACCCGAAGTTTTTTTTTTTGCAATCCTAGGTTTTGTTGCAATCACCCGAAGGGCTTTGTTGCAATCCTTCGGTTTTTTTTTTTTTTTTTGCAATCCTTCCTTCTGTTTTGCAATCCTTCGTTCGTCGGTTCTCGGCAGTTTTTCATCCCCGGGGTACCTTGCAGCGGCTGCGCCTCGCCGAGAGCGCTGCCGGGGCGCCCGGGTCGCCCCGGCCGTCCGCTGGAGAGCCGAGTCGTGACCCAGTGGGCAGCGTCAGGGGGGAAGAGGCGCAGAGGGGGACGTGTCGACACCGCATCGCCCAGGCATCGCCGATGCGGGCCAGATAGGCCAGGGGGAGGAGGGGAGGGGGGTCCTAGAGGGGGAGGAGGAGGGGGAGGAGGAGGAGGAGGAGGAGGAGGAGGAGGAGGAGGAGGAAGAGGAGGAGGGGGAGGAGGAGGACCCCGCCCAGCTGGTGAGAGCCTGATAGCCCACCCCGCCCAGGAAGGCGCGGAGTCGTTCTCAGGGGCATGTCGCCGATCTGTCGGCGATGTATTGCCGGTTCCAGGTCGGTGTTCCCCCCTGAGCCAGTCCCACCCTGTCGTTCCCCCTCCACTGGTGGCGGCCAAGAGGGGGGCGATGACTAGGGGGCAATGACCAGGGAGTCGGGGCCCCGTAGCTGGGGATTTGGGTAAACCAGGACATGGGGCGTGCCCCCCGACAAAACTGCGGCCATGGGTCGAAATATGTTCCATTCTTCGTTCTCCCCAGGTGGCATTGTCAAAGCCCTGGTTGGCAATGTCCTTGCGCAGGGGGCCCTGGGCTCGGCGCTCTCGAGGGGAGTGCTTGGATCGAGGGGCAGTGCTCACAGACGGCGTGCCGAGTGCTCTTGCGCAAGTGAAGGAGTCATGGCGGGAGATCATCTCTGATCTCCTGTCCACAGGGGGGGGCCGGGGAGCCCGAGACCGTCCACGCCTGCAGCCGGTGCGGCAGCCGTTTCGCCGGGAGGTTCCTCACAGCTTCTTTCGGGGATCGTGTTCTCGCCAGAATGCTGGCTGCATTTTTAGCCCAGATGGGGTGCGCATGGCGGTCCCGGCTGCGCTCACCAAAGTCCCGCCTCTTCACCTGTGCTGCTAGTAGGGTTCTTTGATGGCGCGTGCTTCATCATTTTCACGTCCTGGGGCCCCCGCTGGTCCCAGGACCTTCAACACGGGATGAAAGTCTGGCCTCCAAGAAGGGATCCAGACCTCTAGGGGGCACGTTGTGAAAACGACAAGTCTGCTGATGTGTGGGATGCCTTGTCCAGTAGGGCGTGTACATCGCGCCAGGGCCCAGGATGGCGCCCGCTGGTACTGTGTGTGCGCACGGGTATCCTGTTCGCTTTCTCTCTCTCTCTCTCTCTCTCTCGTCCGCCTCTCCTTCGCTGTCTCTCTCCTCGCTCTCCCTCCTCCCGACCACCGACGTCCTTTCCATGCCTTTTTGCCTTTCCCACACGGGCAGATATTTCTGCCACTCCAGCTGCTGACTGGGGCCAGCAGAGTGCCGTGAGAGCCGAGGTGCGAACGCCTACTTCGACATGGAGTGGGTGAAGGCTGGCCCGGCAGGGGCGAGGAGGAGTTGCAGCAGTGGGTGGACGGCAAGTGAGAGGTGGAGTCCAGGCCTCCTAGATGGGGTCTCGGTAGATGGGGTCGGAGGATCGCGCCGCATCGCCGTTGTTGCGTCTCGATGCAGAGCCCGACTTTCTCCATGCCCACGTCGCCGATGCGTCGCCGACGTCGGCGATGTATCGACGATACGTCGCCGATGCATTGGCGGTGCGGCGCGATCCCCCGATCTACTCGGACCCCATCTGGGAGGCCTCTTAAGGAGGGAGGGGACGGGGAAGACGGCGGGAGGATCCGCGGAATCCATGCACCACCACCGGTGCTTGGCCGCGGCCACCCTGGGACCCAGGACGGTGCAGATGGACCCTCCTGGCCTCGGCCAGTCGGGTGCCTACACCATGGCGAGGCCCAGGGTAGCCCTGGCCAGGCACGGTGATGGCGGACAGGGGCCTGCTGCGTGCAGGGGGACGATGGGAGATGGTGAGAATGGGGAGGTCCCCCTGCTTTCCCCCAGATCTTGGCGTTGCAATTGTCTCACACCGGGCGCTTTCGCCCAGTTTTGGGCTCCGGGACCCTCACAGATCGATCCGGCTCGAGAAATGACGCAGAGAGATGGGGTCTGGGGCTCGGGCAATGGTTTTTGGCGATGTTACATCAGATACGTCAGATCTGGGGGAATCTAGGCCTCCCAGACAGGGTCCGAGTAGATGAGGTCGGAGGATCTCGCGGCATCGCCGATGCATTGGCGATGCGGCTCGATGTGAAGCCCGATTTCGCCACGCAGACGTCACCGATGCATCGGCGATCCGGTGCGATCCTCCGACCCCACCTACTCGGACCCCATCTGGGAGACCTTAGAGAAGGGGGAGGTCCCCCCTGCCCTCTTGCTGGGCCCAGCCGTCGCCGCTGCTGCCGCCGCCCCGCGTGCACCAGCGTCAGTGCCTGTCTGCTCGTCCCTCGCGTGCTCCAAGTATCGGGCGCGCGAGGCGCTTTCAGGAGGGGGCCTCGCTTCCGGCGCGCCTCGCCTCCGGCGGAGGGGCGGCGGAAGCCAGCGAGCGTGGGGGGCGCAGGTCCTCTGGCGGAAGGCGGCGGAGGTTAGCCTGGTAAGCACGAGGCGTCGACATGTCTGGGTCCTTCTCCAACTCCTCCTCCTCCTCCTCCTCCTCCTCCTCCTCATCCTCCTCCTCCTCGTACTCATCCTCCTCCTGCTCCTCCTCCTCCTTCTCCTCCTTCTCCTCCTCCTCCTCCTCCTCTTCCTCCTCCTCCTCCTCCATCTCTCTGAAGCTGGCGATGTGGCCCGCCCCAGTAGCCTTGAGCCCACAAGGGTCGTCGTCTCCGCGGGGGACGTGCAGGGTGTCCGCGGCCCTCCACCTTCCGCCTTCCGCCGCGGGAGGGCGGACGGCTTCTCCATCCCTCGACGGCGAGGCCGATCCCAGACCTCCGAGGCCGTGGCTTGCTCACGACGTGGACGCCTCCAGAGGCCTCGGTCTCCTCCCCCTTCTGGCGGCCCTGGACCCCTGCCGCCAGGTCGCCCAGAGTAGAAAGGGGGTCGGAGGATCGCGCCGCATTGCCGATGCATCGGCGATGCTGCTCGATAGAGGAGCCCAATTTTCTCCACGCCCACGTCGCCGACGTCGCCGATGCATCGGCGATGCGTCAACGATGCGGCGCGCTCCTTCGACCCCGTCTCCTCCCTCCCCGCCTGGGAGACCTCTGATTACGAAGGGAATCGCGCTTCGCGCATCGCGGTCTGGGCCGGCGCTCCAGAGGAGCGGCGCGAGGCCGCAAGGGCGCGAAAATAATCGCGCATCGTCGGGCGCGATGCGCGAGACTTGGTGACCTAGCAGGGAAGTGAGAGGGGGCGGGCCTTCTCAGAAGGGCGCGGGGATTCTCAGAAGTCCTCCAGCCTTTTGGAAGCGGTCTCTGTCTTCGTAGAAGGCTCATAGAACTTCCCAGGCAGCCCGATACCTTCCGAGCCTTGAGGAGGCCCGCTTCCTCTGACTTCCCTCCTGGGCTCGCCGCCGACACAAACCTCCCTGGCGGCCCCGCCCTCCATTGATGATCGCAGAACCGCCGCGCCCCACCCGGTCCCGCGCGCAGGTGTACCAGGACGCCACCTCGGCCCGCTAAGGGAGCTCTGGGCGGCTTCGCCATCGCGGAGATCCGGGTGGGCTCCGGCCGAGACCCGGCCGAGCCCCGGCCGAGGCGCCCCGCATTGTTTTACCCAGGGTCACTCTTGCGTGTAGTCGAGAGGGGGGTGGGCGGCGCCCAGTGCGTAGGATGCAAATCCCGGGAGGTTCAGTTCGGCATCGGCGCTGGTATCTCCATGGTCGAAAACAGGCTTCATCCGTCGAGGTCCCGCCCAGTTTCCGTTGGTCCCTCTTCATAGGGCTGGAACGGGCTTAATCTTCTGCCTAGTCTAGCCCAATTCGGCTCAATGTCGCCTCAATCTGGCTGAAAACCCCTGGATCTTTCTCGTCGGCCTCGTCGCTGTCGTCCTCGTCCTCGCCGTCTTCCAGACAGCCTCTTGGACCTGGCTCGAAGGGGGAGCGAGAGAGGGATACATTTGCCCCCCCCCCCCCCCACTTACATGATCATATCACATCATCAGGAGGAGGACGAGGAGGAGGAGGAGGAGGAGGAGGAGGAGGATAGCAGGCGACTTCTCGCCCCCAACCCACGACTTCCCCAAGAAAAATCAAGCCCCTGAGAAAGGAGGGGAACTCGGGGATACACCCCCTGGGGGGCTCATCGGACGCGCCCCAGATCGAGAAGGGACGCCCCCCTCCGTCCTAGATCCCCGAGTTTTGCAACATGTTCTGGCCCTTTCTCGAGCCCCACGAAGCCAGGGATAGGGGTCGACACATCCCATGTCAGAGAAGGGGGCTCCGGGCTCAGGGGCAACATCGGCCACCGGTCGCCCACTCTTCGCCGATGGCGCCACGGAGCGTGCGGTTTCGCTATCGCGGGCCCATCACCTATCTATCGGCGATGTATCGCCGATTCCAGGTCGGTGTTTCCCTCCTGATCCGTGCCCCCTCGAGCGCCCCCCCTGAGGAGGAGGAGGAGGAGGAGGAGGAGGAGGAGGAGAAGGAGGATGAGGAGGATGAGGAGGAGGAGGGGGGAGGAGGAGCCTCCCTGGGGCCCCTCCCCCCTGGGTGCTCTGCGCTGTCGTGGCGCTGCGCGCTGCCCCCTCTCGAGCTGCAGGGGCCCGCGCCGCCGTGCAGAGGTGCAGCACCTCCCTCGCATGGGGGCTGCGCTGCTTTTGGGGGAGAGCGGGGGGGGGGGCACTTCCTCCTGGGCGGGGCAGCGCACTGCCTCCAGGACGGGGCAGTGCAATTCCCTCAGGGTGGGAGCGCGCTTATCCCGGAGAGGAGACCGATGGAGGGGAGTGGGCCGATGACAGGGAGGCGAAGGAGGAGGAGGAGGAGGAGGAGGAGGAGAAGGAGGAGGAGGAGGACAGGACAGACAGGAAGGCGGCGGGAGAGTAGTCGGAGGTTGAAGGACGCGGCGGTTTCTTGTTCCTTCCAGCTGCAGAGGCTCCTTTCCCGTTGCGGTACCTCCTCCCGGATAGGGCGTCGCCGCTCCTGGGCACGGCGGAGAGTTTTCTGCGTTGAGTTCTCACAGGTGCGGTCGGACGCGTCCCGTACTCAGCAGTCGACTGTCTGGCGGCTTCAGGTGTCTCTCGGGGTTGTCTTGGGTGCCTCTTGGAACCCGCTTTGGGCCCTCTTGGGCTGGCATGGGCTTCTCTTGTGCGCCGTCGTGGGGCCCTCTTGGGGCTGTATTGCGTCGTCTCTGGGTCCTCCTAGGGTCCGTCCTCGACTCTGTTGACATCTCCTTGGCTCCTCCGCGGCCCTCTCACAACCATATTGAGTGGAGGGGCCCTGGACACGCAAAGTAGTCAACAACTTCAACGAGTCCAAGGATGTTTGAATGATGTTGATGTTCTTGGAGGCCTATTGGCCTTCTTTTTGGTGTCTTGGCCAGGGTGCCTTATTGGGTTCTTCTTGGGATATGTTGGCTGCCTCTTGGCGCCATGTTCGGGCATTCTGACGCCTCGGTTGCCTTTTCCTGGGCCGTCTTGCAAGCCTTGGAGAACATTGGACAGCCAGAGGGAAACGTCAAGCCGCCCAGGGAGCCTCGGGGGAGGGGGACAATGCACGCACCACTGCGTGACTGGGGGAGGGGGGTCTCTCAGAAGACTCGCAGAAACCCTGCCGGACAGCAATTGGCATCCTATTACGCCTCAGCATGCCAGCGGTCACCGTGACGAAATGTATCAGCAGGGGCGGGAGGTGGAAGCATCGCGCCAATCTACTGTTATCTCTCACTTTCACCGCAGTTACCCAGGACGACAGATTTTCCTCTCCAGGTGCGAACTGCAATATCCTGCAACGCAACCCCCACATCTGTAGAATCTTACCGTGGGCGGACTCTGAGGCCTTGGATATGCTTACGATGCGGTTCCCCACCTTAATTCAAATACATATGCTATCATTGAAGACACGGAGTAAAGCCATATCCGTGCAAAAAACGGTACGGTATTCAGGTCCGCAGCAGACGGATGTGGATCCGCATGGGCGGAAACCAGGTCCAACCAATCATTGATCAGAATCGAGCATCCGTGCATCCTGAAATCTGGTCCGCTTTAATTTCGTCCGCGCGTTCCGTTGCCACTTCTGAGGATGCCCGTTCCAGGCCCGAGAGGAAAACGCTTTCGTCCTGGGTGTGTGTTTAGCTTAAGCGCCGGTCAGCTTCTGCTTGCTCTCGAAGTGGCGAGCTCAGCAGGGCGTGCCTCGACACTCGGGCGGCGACCCAAAGCGGGCCGCGTTTTCTAGCGCGCGGCAAGGCCTTTCTTGCCTGCGCAGCTGTAGGCGCACGAGTACGTCTCGGCGGCGAGCCCCGGGGGGAAGTGAGGGGGGGCGGGCCTTCTCAGAAGGCTCGGAAGGCCTCGGGCCTTCTGAGAAGCTTTCGAGGCCTTCCCC